GATTTATGGAAGTTGACAGTGTGCTAGTTATTAAGCTATTATTTCTCAGTTCCCAAGCCCTGCTCTATCTACTGAGTATCTGTGGGGTATGAGAAGGAAAAGCTTAGAAACACTTCCAAAGAAACCTAAAATATGAGCTCCTAAAGTCATCTCAGTGTCTCTAATGTGTCCATAATGTAAATTTATTTCTGGAAATTCTCTTCTATTGAGTTTATTTTGAGGACTCTCCAGGAAACAGAGGGACAACTGAGCATGTATCTCTGAGTACCATAGGAGTGACCACGAGTCAGAGAGTAATGACGTCTCCAGGTCTCAGGAACCAGAGGCTCCAGAATAGATTTCTTGGGTTCAAGCCTTCCCGGGGTCATACCCTAGCCCTGTGACATCGAATAAATAATATGACCTTGATGTATCTCTGTTTCCTCATTAGCAAATGTGAGCTAATGACTACACCTGCTACATATAATCATGAAAGTTGAATGAGGTGATTCACTCAAGATGGTGAGCTATCAGCCTGGCCAGATCCTCAGGATGGAACTAAAATAGGTACTCAGTAAGCATCCACATTATCTATGTTTTTTATCTGAAATTTTGAATATTGAGGTCTCTTGAATTTGATCTCAGAGGCTGTGGGGAGGCAGTATGAGGAATTAAGTCACCTATGCTAGATTCTATCTGTGCACTGAACGACTATGACCCAGAGCAAAGAGAAAATTATGGGGATACCCTAAGCACAGAGCTCAACAAACTATGATGACTTTGGCCATAAGTTCAGCTTTATGGCTGCCTATAAAGCTGCCTATCAAAATACTCCCGACAGATGACCTGTAGTAATGAGGGTGTGAAGGAAGCTGCCTTGCCGAACATTCCACCTGACAGGGACTCAGACCACGGGAGGACATGGCCATCTCAGAAGGCCTTTGCATCCTTTGCTCCTGCCTCCCGACCCTGGCCTTGCCCCTCAACTTGTGGCCTCACCTTTCAGTTTCCGGCCCTCATGCATTCAGTTATTTTTTCAATGAAACAGATTTTGATTAACTCACATATTCATTCAACCACTTATTGGTCAATTTTTAAATTATTCATAGGCCAAATATCTATTGAGCTAATAACTGCAGTTTAGATAATTTATTGGGCTTTTTCTATAAATTCCTTGGTGAGTAGCATAACAGTAAGAACAATGGCATCAGTATGTATTGAAGATTTACTCTATTTAAGGAGGCATAATAAGTATTATATATACATTAGCTCTCTCTTTTTTTAACAAAAGTCATGTTAGATAATATACTATTATGAATAGTAATTGTATAGATTGGGAAAAGTATTTTACAGAGATTAGTAAACGGCCCAAAGTCACATAGCTAGTAAATTATAGAGCCAGGGTTCAAAATCATGTCTATATAACGTAACACACAAACTCTTAACCTCTTCGTGGGACAACATTAATAGGTTATCAAACTCCAGTCTTTATAATTCTTGTTACTAATGAATCCATATGGAAGAAACCATTTTAACTATGTCATAAAGGAGACTACTAACAAAATCACTTACGAAGGTATTCATTCCAGTTAGGAAACAATACAGTAAACGAAACAGCAAAGCAAAATCCATAATATGGTCCTATTTTCCTAGCATAACTGAAAACGTATAAATAGGTCATCATCAATTTGATGAAACCAAATGATGAGCCACAAATCTCTCCATTAAAAGTGACAAAAAATCTAACTCAAACTAGCTTGAAGAATAATGGAAGGCATAGACTTGCAACAGTGAAAAGACAAAGGGCAGGATGGGCTTCAGGTAGAGCTTGATTGTCATCATGGACCAGCTTTGTTACTCTCCATTTGTTTCTTTTTTTTTTTTTTTTTTTATTTTATTTTTTTTATTTTTTTGACAGGCAGAGTGGACAGTGAGAGAGAGAGACAGAGAGAAAGGTCTTCTTTTGCCGTTGGTTCACCCTCCAATGGCCGCCGTGGCCGGCGCACCGCGCTGATCCGATGGCAGGAGCCAGGAGCCAGGTGCTTTTCCTGGTCTCCCATGGGGTGCAGGGCCCAAGCACCTGGGCCATCCTCCACTGCACTCCCTGGCCACAGCAGAGGGCTGGCCTGGAAGAGGGGCAACCGGGACAGAATCCGGCACCCCAACCGGGACTAGAACCCGGTGTGCCGGCGCCGCTAGGCGGAGGATTAGCCTAGTGAGCCGCGGCGCCGGCCTCCATTTGTTTCTTTCTGTCTTCCATTGTATCATCATCTTCTTCAGGCCTCAAATGGACTCCCATTGGCAGTTCCAGAGTCTCCATTTTAGCTGAATCCATTTAAATCTCCATATCGCCATAGCCACACCACACATGCCAGGGTTGGAATGAGTCTCCTCCCACAGTGCTCAAGGAAGAAAGATACTTTGCTTCCCCCAGAAGCCTTAGCGAATTTCTCTATAAATCTCCTTCCTTCTGACTAGGTTTCTGCCCATCATGGATCAAATTATGGGAGCCAGAGGAATGGGATGACATAGGTTGGGATTATTGGCTATAGCTAGTCCTGAGAGCTGAGCCAAGGGTGGGACAGATGTTCATGAAGAGCATTTCCCCCAAAGCAAACGCAATATGGTAGTACCTGAAGGTGAAAGATGAGAAGTCGCAGAAAAACAAGTAGAGTCTAATTGAATATTGAGTGCCCAACCACATCTCCCAGAAGGATGCAGCAGCTCAGTAAAACAGCACTGCATTGGAAAGTTGACTTTATTACCATGTTAAAAGCATTTTCTATACCCATATCAGCAACATTTCTATAAAATGAGTAAATGTAGTACTTTTTTCTTCCCCAAATGCCTCCGGTATCTCAACTATCAAAATGTCCAATGTGCAATTGTTGTCTTTATTTTCCTTTGTATCAGCTTTGTCTTTTGCATAAATGGAAGGTATCAACACACACATTTCAATTAAAATCAGATTAGATGCTGTGTTCTTTACAAGGTGGTATTTCTATTGGAATTCTGTGTTGTTTATTCGACAAATGTGTTTGGCATGTATAAGCTGCCTTGATCCACTTTTCATTTTGTGACATTTTGGGCAGGGGAAAACTGCATGCCTCAGTAGATGACACAGTTGGCTACCAGTGACAATATAAAAATTTGAAATTCTTAAGCGATTTAACATTTTCCCTTCTAGCCACATTATCTATCACAGAGGAGTGATATTCTGGGGGACTCGAACCAATCAGAGGATGGATGTATGACTCTTATGGAACAAATGTATGTATAAATTATCACTCTCTTCTCTCTTCTCCATAAATAGTGATGCTAATAGATCCACAGTGTGAGATAAGGGAAGGGGTGCCATGCTCTACAGAAATTCATCTTGTTAGGGAACGGCAGCATGAAGCAGCCAGATCTGTTTAGACTTCAGCATTGTCCAGCATCTCCTGACTAGATTGGTTGAAAGACTGTGTTTCTTGTCTAGAAGAGGAGCTGGTGTGTGTACGGGGGTGAGGGATCAATAGGCTGCTCAGGGACTAAGCTCTCAGGTGTGCTCAGTCTCCACCATTCCCTGTTTCTTGAGGTCCAGTGCATTCCATCTGGGTTCCCTGCCTGGACCCCAAAGACATTTGAGTTTGTGATCTTCAGGGAATGTGAGCCACCTAGACTAATAGACTGGTGACTCCTCAATCAAATGCCTTGCAGACCTTTGTCCATTCTATAGTTAGTGGAGGTAGAGAGAACCTGACTTTCCTTTAAGGCTTTTTTGTTTTTCAGAATCAGAACTAATTATAATTTTATTTCCACTGGTTCAAAGAGAGTCAACAGCCTTAAAAAAAAGTGCAACAAAATATTTCCAACTTTTCTGTAGTTTTGGTTTCCTTTAGAATTCTCTTATGACTTTTCCTGAACCAAGCAACTTCTTGGGAGGTATATTAAAAAGGTTTAATATTCAGAATATAAATCACATCCCTTGTAAATCACACCACACCACACATTACATGGTTCTGGAATTTCTGTTAACTGCAGCTGCCATCTTTGAGTTGACTGCAAATGCTCTGTATGTTAATTACAAAAGTCCTAGCAAAAATACTCCAGGGCTAATAAATGTTGTGTTTTTGTGTCTTTGCCTGTTTCATATTACAGTGGTGTGGTTTTTGTCACCAGAGAAGGACCAGTGTATGTTTTCTCAATTTCTTCCATTAGTGTTTCTAAACACATTACAGATTGGTACCCTGGGCAGCTGCTCAGCTGACCCACCCTGTGACCCACAGCTGTGGAAGTCAATGAAGGCACCATCTAGCAATCACTGAGTCACAGGATGTGTGGCATTAAAGACCTAACATTGACAGACCTGCAAAGTAATATTTTGAGAGATTTGCTGTACTTCACTAAGTGTATTACAAACTGTCTTTGATTGCCTGCTTTTATTTCATACTCAGTTATGTGTTTCTAGGTCAGGAGTCTTCAAACTATAGGCCATAGGCCAACTGAACCAAGTTTATGCACTTATAAATAAAGTTTTATTAGAACTCAGTCATGTCCACTCATATACATATTGTCTATGGCTGTCCTTGCACTACAGCAATGGAGTTGAATAGTTGTAACAGGAGCTACAGGGCCTGTAAAAGCAAAATATTTACTTGGTGCTCCTTTCAGGAAAATTCTGCCTACCTTTGATCTAATTCTCTATAGTAGTAAGAAAATATTATTACTTTTTAAATGCAGTATCTTCACATGATTAGTTCCCCGTCATAGAAGTTCTTACAATTTCTCTTTGGGACACTTGTGACATTTGTCATATCTCTTCACCGGTCATCTTCAGATTATAAGTTGTTAGGGGAACCTCACCTAGATTCGACATTATCCATCAGGAATGCTTTTGACTACAAGTCACGTGAATGCTTTTGAGCGCTGTGTAACCAATGAAGACTTCCCTCACCTAACAGGAAGCCTAAATGAATAGGAGTCTAGGTTCCACACGGAGGCCCGAGGATTGTGCAAACCCCTGTGGCCCTAGGCTTTACCTGTCTGTGCCGCTCCAGCAGTCTCAGCGTGCTGTCCCTTTGTCCTTGTGCGCATCACTTCTTGGTGCAGACTTTTTGCTCCAGCTCACATCCTTACACCAGTAATCCCAGCACTGTAGAGGGAGCAGGAGCGTGAAGTTTTCTTCTACCGAAGCTCGAGACGTTTAACCTAGAAAAAAGATCACCAGCAGATTTCCACAGTATATTTCAGTGAACAAAAGGCTTCACAGTCTCCCAAAATTTCTCAGTGAACTTATCCCAGTGCTAGAACAACACTGCAAGCCAGTAGATATTCTGTAACTGTGTACAATGGTGGATGCATTGATGCATTATAGACAAATGTTTTCAAATTTAGTTTAATTTGGATCCCATAATGGGTAATCAAGGAAGACAACAGAGCAGAGTCTTTGGTAGTAAAAATATTGGGGACTATCTCTATTTCAAATTTTTCACTTCATAAATGGGGAGATCAGACTCCAAAATTGAAAGTTAGATATTAAATTTTTATGTTTTCTGATTGTCTAACACCCATCCCCATGTTTCTTGTAACAAGTCCTTAATTTGAAGAACAGGCTTCCTCAGTGTGAGCCGGATGAGGCAGGTGGCAGCCCGAGTCCCAAGTGAGAGCATCAGTCCCAGAATTGGCCGCCTCTGCGCCCTGACCTCAGTGCTTGGTTCAGTGCACGGACCAGGGCCACAGAGCCAGGACGAGTGCAAAATTTTGGAGGGATAATAGGAATGTGGTTGCTGCTGCTGATCGTGGGAGAGCCAGGCCAACAGTGAAGCCCCCACAGAAGGCAAACTGGGGGTCTGTGATCTCATTGATGTGGCTGCACCCGCATATAGCTGTGCCTGAACTAGATATTTTATCTTCCCTTTAAAACAACAAAAACCAGGACGTGTTTGGCCTAGCAGTTAAGGTACCTGTGTTCCACATCAGAGTGTGTAGGTTTGATAACCGGTCTCGGTCTCTAGTACCTAACTCCAGCTTCCTGCTAATGCAGTCAGTCCTTAAAGTCAGTGGAAATGACTCAACTAATTGTGTTATTGGCCCCTGGCCTCTCAGTATTGCCCAGCCACAGCCATTGCCGACATTTGGGGAGTGAACCAGCAGATGAGCTCACTCGCGGAGCCCATATGCCTGCTCTCCCACTTTCTCTGCCTCTCAAAAACATCAAAACAAAACAGCAGAAACCCAGCCCGCATAGTTCAAAGTCCTAAAGGGAATTGCATTTGACTCATTTAACTGTTGAGTGTAGGGCTGAGCAGGTTTACTGGAGTGTGTTTATCCTGTGGATCAAGGCTATCTATCATCAAGAGCCTAGGGTTCCCTTACTTTTGTTTTCTCTCTCCATCCCCCACTCCACTCTAAGCCAGCCCTTTTCATGGTTTCTAGATTATTGCTGGTAGCAATTTTCCCCTCAAGTTTCACTGCATGAAAGATCCCCAGCAGGATTTCTGAAATTCCACTCATTGGACCCTTGCCTCCTCAAGAACCAATCACTGCGAACAGTGGGGAAAAGGGAATGTGCTGATTGGCTTAAGCCGTGGAGCTGGGGGAGGGGCCTGCTTTCCAGGCAGGTACATAAATCAAATAGGGAAGTGTTAGATAACCTGCATTAGTCAGCTTTTTGTCGCTTTAAAATACCTGAGAGGAGCTACTTATGAAAGAAGAATGTTTATTTTGGCTCACAGTTCCAGAAGTTTACAGCCTGACACAGGGCAGCTCCTTTAGGCTGGTGTCTGAGGAGGGTGGTAGATGGTGGATCACACTTCAGCGAGACACGGAGCACCACACTGGGCTTCTAGGGCCAACCCATCTCATGAGAACTACCTTCCCAGGGCACACCCCAGGGACCGAAAGACCTCCTGTTAGGCCCACTTTGGGGTTTAAATGTCTGAATGAGCTGGGAAGCCAAGTCATGTTCAAGTTGTAGCAATGCCCTGGTGAAAATCCGAGTTATGTCAGAAAATCTGAGTTATGTCGGTGGGGTGGGTGCTGGGATGAGAAACACCAATGCCATTAGACTATCAACTCCTGGATGTTTGGTTTATGTGCAGCCAAAATTTTTCTCCTTTGTCCTTAGGTCAATTAGGACTTAATGTTCCCTCCTATACAGCGAAAGGTTTGTATTGATGGTGAATGGTGCTGTAGTTGTGGGTAGAGACGGGCCCGTTCTCAACCATACCTCTGACTACCCAATGCCACTTCCATCTTCCTGTTTCTCTTTGATGTTGTTCACTTCCTAATATACTGGATATCTGATTTTGTACACTGTCTTGCTCTTCTCATTAGAAGTAAGCTGCATGAGAGCGGGGATGGGGGTCTGTGTCTACAATAGGACCCAGTCCGTAAAACGTGCTCAGTAACTATTTATTGAATGAAAGACTCCGTGAGTGGATGTATAAATAAGAAGCATCCATGGATGTCGGAGAGAAAGGATCTTCAAAGACGAGCTGGCCCGATATCTGCAGAGACAGCACTGGAATCCCAGGCTCCCCGTGGCAAATCCAATGTGTATTCTGTTCCTCCATCCTGCATATCTCGGTTATAGAAATTCCCAGTCTTCAGCCAGTTGCTACCTCTGAGAATGGCACCACCTGTTTCCCTCGTTTATCTATTTTCTTCAAGCCTTTAGTGCTTACATTTCCTGAAGTGCATCCTGTGTATTTGAATTCAGGTTCTTTTCATTTGCAGCTGAATGAGGAAGATACCAATGAGTGACCTTTTGCTTGATTACTTTCCCCACTAAGGGAATCTGGGCTTTATCCAGGCTCTGTGTCTGCATCCTTTGTCTACATTCACATCTCTCACCAGGTGTTTCTTGAAGTCATTCTCTACAGTTCCAAGCCCAGCGATATGGGCCAAAGTGCATCCCAGGTCTTACTCGCACAGTAATGTGTATCAGCTGCCCGTAGGGTGGTCGATTGCAAGGGGCACACTTGAATGGTGGGGACATTGAGTCATCTCTGTCCAGGTGAGCTGGGTTTTACCAAGGGCACAGTTGGTACCCAGGTGCGGCTTGCTTAGCTGGACTGCATCTTGGAAGGCCTGATGAATTCTGAAGCCAGGAGTGGGTCTCAGCCCTTGCATTTTCTCCTGTGCTCCAGTAGAACTGCTGGTGACTTGTGCCCCTTCTGATAATGTTCCTGAAATCCTTTCCTTCGAGGGGATCACAAACCGTGTTGAACCATGAAGAACTTCACGGAACAGGGCATTTCCTGCAAAGGAGCAGCTCTCCAAAGCACTGTGCTTTGGGGACTCAATAATCAACTATTTAATGTAGGAAATTTGAAGAAACATAAGTATTTGTTAACAGTAGATTTTGTTAAACTGTATTCAAATTATTAAATGTGAAAACGTCTGTGGCTTACTGCATAACCTTGAACAAGTCACTTAAATCAGTGGTTCTCGAATGTGGCCCATCTTCCGTGGCAGCTGCAGCACCTGGGAACTTAACACAAACAAGGCCCTAGGCCACACCCACTCAATCAGAAACTGTGGGAGAAGACCAGGCAGTCTTGCTTTTAAATCATTCTCCAAGGGATTCAGAGGTGGTATGCTCAAGTCTGAAAACCTCTGCCATGAACTATCCAACCTCATCACATGTAAAATTGAAGCCATAATGCTTGGCCTCATAGAGTGGTTGTAAGGATTGAATTCAATAGATTTTGCATATCAAGCATTTAGCACAGTGTCTAGCACTTAGTATGTGTCAATATATGACAGCTGCAATTAATGTTATTATTGTTATTGGATTTCTTTTCTAGGTGGCCAGTGAATCAGTCTGTGAGTTGGCGTGTCTACCTGTGGACTATTATAACATTATAACAATAGCTAATTTATCGAGCTCCTCCCCTGTGCCAGGCACCCAGCTAATCACTTCACAAACCGGGCATTCGATCCTCATTAGGAAAAAAACACTAAGAGAATGCTGCTTGTATTGTCCACCATTTACAGGTGAGAAAACAGATTTGGAGAGCTCACGTTCCTTGTGCAGAATAATGCAGGGAGTGAATGTGGCAGAGCTGGGCTCAGAATCCAGAGCTAGCTCCTGGAGCCCTGGTGAGTAAGGACATCACCAAGCATATTGCCACTTGGAAGTGGGTTTGCTCAAAGGCACTAGAGCTTTTGTACTATTTAGAAAATCTTGATGAAATCAGGTATTCACCCCTACACAAAAATCCACATTATGGCAACAGATTAACAACAGAAGCTTCTGGGTCAAGTTTTTGCTTGAAATGAGTTTGTTTGTTTGTTTGTTTTTGAGAGGCCAGGAGCAAAGGGAACCCTGGTGCTTTCCTCTCTAAAGTCCTCGCTGACTGTTTCTGCCCAGCCATGATGGGCAATGATTGGTGGGTGACAAAGCCAGTCCAGCGTCCGTAATCAGACTTGTCCCTGGGCTGCAGATGGGAGACGTTTCCCCGAGCTCAAAGAATGTCTTCAAGGGTCCACTGGGGAAAATGCCTCCTCTACCTGTGGAAGGGAGATCACCAGGTCCAGATTACAGACAGGAAATGTGGAAATGTGACTTGTAATTACTGCTAAGTATGTGTTAGCAGTTGTACTTACGAATATGGGGGTTTTGGCTCATGATAAATGCCAAATTTATGCCACTTTTCAGTACCACGGAAAATCCTGGCACATAAAATACCAATGACATCCTATTATGCAATTTTTTTAAATGGGGAAAATTATATGTATATCAAAGGAATCTCAGAATGAGCTGCTGAATTTGTAAAATGCCTATATTTAAAAGCCCATCAGAATGATGTTTCGGGGTAAATATATATGTTTCTCCAGTGCAAAGTGTTCATTTTATCCCGGAGAATTGTTAAAGAGACAAATAGGCCAGGAACAAAACCCTTTCTTGTTTGAGCAAAGCCAGCAACTGTTTTTCCTGTAAGAGTTTCTGCCTGGTTTTTGGAAGCAGGACCGCGGAGATAATCACGAGATGTTCCGTTTAACGTAAAACTTCCCGGTGTCCCCAAATGCCAGCGTGAACAATAGCCCCACTAAGCAAACACCAGTTTTGGCTTCTGCCTTTCAGGCGATGTTTACTTTCCCCCTCTCCTTAGCTCCACCCCAGCTCGCTCTTGAAAGGCCTTCTGTTCTGTCAGCCACCATGACATCTGCTGGCGGACACAGGAAGTCATAAATCTGTAGGTTGCCTCTCAACCAAGCCTGCTTAATGCTGGCATTGATAGCAGGGGCTGGGTGCCATCTCTGGAGCGCTGGGCGCACAGAGTCCATTTTCTCCCATTCTCCTCTCCCAGGAGAGCAACCATTTTCAAAACAGCCACTTTTTCATCTCGCGTTTGCAGACCTGAAAGGGAGGCCGATGCAGACCCCGTCGGTAACACGCGGCTCTTGGAAAGAAGCCACGATTGCCGGCAACAATAGGCGCCCCTCGCCGTCCGGGCCGCAGCGAGGCAGCTCTGCCTCAGCCCTGGCCTTCCCCACTTTCTATAGGCCCCGGGCTGCTTCAGGGAGCTGGGCGGGGCCTCGGGCCCTCTGGGCCTCTGCTCCAGCGCTGCCTAAGGGCAGAACGGGCTACCAGGGGAGCTGAAGAGGGTTGCTTACAGCCAGAGCTGCTTCTGTTCTGAACGAATGCAGGAGGAGGTCTGGTTCTTCTTTCTAGAAGCTCACTGTGTCTCAAGCCCTTCACCCGTCCGAGGTATATTCCAGCTCCTGTTACCCCATGCGGGTCCACCTGTTAGAGCTTGTGAGAAACGCAGCGTCGTGGCAGCCGCCTCCCCTGACTCCGAACCCACCTGTTCAAGGAGACTCCCGTGGGGCTGCTGCAGGCGCGGAGGTCACGCATGAGCTTTGGCTCCACCTCCGGGTTTCCCTCAGCCCTGTCAGCGGTTGGAACCGGATCACCCTTCTCTCGCAGGGCCTGCGCTGTGTGCCCTAGGCTCTTTGGCTGCAGCCCTAAGTGGTATAACCCAGAAGGTCTCCCGACTTTGTCAGGTGTCCCCTGTGGGGGTGGCAAAAGTCAGACCTGTCAGGACCCCAGGAACTCAAGGCGTGGTCCAGGGACTCAGCCCTCTGTCACCCAGGAGCTTTTAAGAACCGCGCACTCTGAGGCCCCAGGACAGACCTGATAAACCAGGAGCTCCGGGAGTGGGGTGGGGCACCTGGGATCGATTTAGGCTCCCTGGGAGATAATATGCATGCAAAGGTTTGCGACCCCTCAATGACATAAATAACCGGCATCTTGTGCTATAAGAGTCCCTGTGGTGGAAGTGCTACCTTGTAATGTGTGACGATTGGGTATACTCAACACCAGAGCCGCACCAGGAGGGTTCGAATCCAGGCCTCCTCTAACTAGTTCCATAACCCTAGCTAAGTTACCTAAACAGTCTGTGCCTCAGTTTCCTCATATAGGACATGGGGACAGCAGAAGCACTTGACGCTAGCAAATTGTTTTAAGCAAATTTCATAGTGTACAGTGCTTAGAGCAGTGTTTGGCACCAGGTGCCTCCTAAACTCCTCTCATGGCTATTGTCACTATACTGTGGTTTGCCTGGCTTCCCCTAGGTGCTTTATTCCCTGCTGTATCCCTAGCACGAGCCTCGTGCCCAGCAAGGACAGGTGCTTACGGAGCATTGGTGGGGAAAGTAGATGTTGGTGGTGGGGGGACGCCTGTCCTCTGCCTTCAGTGGTTTGAATCCAAGCTGTGTTGCCTTCCACAGTTTCTGCTGACGATCCCAGCCTCCCGAAAAGTTTCTGTAAGTCAGCGGCCTTGCCTATGTGGAGCAGTGAGCTAAAGTGACTTGTCTTCCCCCGATTGGGTCAGATTGGACCTCAGCCACATAAAGGTATGTCAGAAAGTTTGTGAGAAAATGGATTTCATGAATAAGCTTATTTTGTGAAACAAATTTTGAAATCATGCATAGTGTTTTACTGCAGTTATATGAAGACTCCCCCCTCATATGCATGGACTTCAAAATTTATACCAAAATTTTTCTTTAAAAATTTTTCTGCATGTTTGAGACAGAGAAAGAGGGAGAGGGAAGGAGGAAGGGAGAGAGGGAGGGAAAGAAAGCTCCTATCAGCTGATTCACTCCCCAGATAGTTGCAACAGCTGGTGCTAACCAGACTGAAGCCAGCAGCTGGGAATTCAATCTGGGTCTCCCACAGGGGTGGCGAGAACCCAACGACTTGAGCCATCACCTGCACTTCGCTGGAGTCAGGAGCAGAGCCAGGCCTTGAACACAGATGCTCTGATAGCAGGTGCAGGGGTACCAAGCAGCGCCTTAGTCACCGGGCCAAAGGCGCACTCCCCAAATATCGTGTAATTTCATCTTTCCGTTAACTTTTTGAAGTTCCCTTAAATCTGCAAGGTCTCTGTGAAAAACAGTGAACAAACATACACTTGTAAAGTATCAAGGAGTTAAAATCAGGACTGCTTCCTAAGTCGGCTATTATGCCAAGTATTCTATCTCTGTTCATGGATCCTCTCGATGCCCTTAATGAAGCTGACAATATAATTACCTCCATCTTCACAGATGAGAAAATTTTTAAAAGATTTATTTATTTGAAAAGCAGAGAGAGCGAGAGAAATATCTTCCTTCCACTGGTTCACTCTCCAAATAGCCAAATTCAGGAACTTCACCCAGGTCTATCCCATGGGTATCAGGGCAACTCAAGCACTTGGGCCATCATCTACTGCCTTCCCATGTGCATTAGCAGGGGGCTGGATCGGAAGTAGAGCAGCTGGGATCGGAACTGGCACTCTGATGTGTGATGCCGATGTCTCAAGCAGAAGCTTGTCCGACTGTGCCACAACACTAGTCCCCACCAAGAAGAAAATTAAGCTTAGAGAGGTGGAATGTGTGACCTACGGTCATAGTCTTAGTGATGAAAGTGCATTGAAAAGACTGACCTCACTGACTCCAAACTCGCCCTGACTTTTCCTCCCTGGTGCCCACCTGGCCTGCACACAGTGCTCGCACGTCCTGCCATTTTTGGGATGATCCTAATTTCAGGCCTTCTACCCCTACTTCATGTAAAGAACACACTCCTGAGTATCAGAGCACGCGTCTTTTATTTTGTTTGAAAGCTCAAGCTATGATAATTATGCAGAGTCAGCTCTACAGCTGCACTAGGGATAAACAAGGAGGAGGAAAGAGGTCTGCGCCCCCAGGTGAGCACACCTGTTGGGAAAGATGAGGCTGGGAAAAAAACAGGAAATACAAAGACTGATAAGGAAGAGTAACTCTGTGAGTATACTGGTAAAAGCAAGGGGAATGGACGAGGGAGAGCCACGGAAGGAGGCAGGGAGCTGAGACTTCGCCCACGGAGGGTCCGCCGTGTATGTGGCACGAAGCTAAGAGGGGGAGGACACTCCAGGGGGCAGTTTAGGTCCTTGCCCTCATAGACCTCACAATTTAGGGGAGTCCCATCCAGCAGATGGTAACTTTGTCCTGCCATTTCTTCACTCACCAACTTAACTGCTAACAGCCAGCACCGGTGGCCCATTTTCCTACAAGGGAGGCCACGAGTGACTCTCTTCCAATGCTGGAGTCGATGGATAAATCCCTGAGCTCTCTCATGCGTTAAGAGGTTATCTCAAAGGTGCATGACCTACACTGAATCCCAGTGGCCCCAACAGTGTAGGCTGCAGGCAGCCGCAGGGACAACCTACCAGATAACACACTCTGTCCTGACTGCTTCCCCTCCCTATTCACTTACCTACTCCCCTTGTGGAGTTTTGAAGGATAATTTCCCAAATAAGCCATGTGCATGCAAATGCTATCACAGGATCCCCAAACCTTTATCTTGGAGCAGCACAAGTAGGACAGGAACCTTATGCAGACAGAGGGCCTGGCAGCAGTCGCAGCTGATTGAACCACTCTAAGCCTGTAGGTGCCTTAACCTGCCTGGACAGCCCAGCAGTGGTTAAGGAGGGAAGACAAGCCGGACTGTTGGGTGAAACCAGTGTTCGGGACGAGTCACTTTGACATAATCCTAGCAAGCAGGGGTAGAATCTCATGAAATTTTAAGGACAATAGGATGCTTAATGCCTAATCATAATAGATAAGACATGCCCCGGATAAGACAGAAAGGTGTTCTCAGGGCGAATTATATCATTCTCTATTTGCTTCTGAAAGTTGAGGGGCACTTTTGGGCACACAGTTCTAATGAGTGCAGGAAACAGAGCTTGATGCACAGTTGAGGTGGCAGAAAATGCACCGGAGCCCAGAACTTCAAGGCTGCTCGTCACATGGTCTGCAGGCTTTCTGGTCCTTACATTCACTTAATGTCTTCCTGTGGTTAATGAAGTTGAGCAAAGGCTGCCTGGGCCAGAGACTTGGTCTGATTCCTCTGCAGTAGCAACACACCTTCAGCAGCTAAGGAATCGACTCCAGGGGAGCCATGTGATAGATGTGAACTCTAACAGCTCCTGTGTCCCCAGCCTGTCCACTCAGCAGTCGTCTGATCTAAAATATACCCAATGCTTAATTGCTGCTGCAAAGCCCTGTACCTCATCAAATAAAAATAGTTTTAAAAAAGAGTCTAGGGCCAGTGTTGTGATGCCCCAGATTAAACTGCCACCTGGGGTGCCAGCGAGCATCCCATATGAGCACAGATTTGAGTACCAGCAACTTTGCTTCCCATCTAGCTCTGGGCTAATGCACCTTAGAAAGCAATGAACAATGGCCCAAGTCCTTGGAACTCTGCCACCCACATGGGAGACCCGGAGGGTGTCCCAGTCTTCCGGCTTCAGCCTCACCCAGCCCTGGCTGTTGCAGCTGTTTTGGGGAGCGAACCAGCAGATGGAACATCTCTCTCTTCTGTCTCATCCCCTCTCTCTCTCTCTCTCTCTCTGCATTTCAAGTAAAATAAATCTTTAGAAAATAGAGAGTCCAATACCTTTTTGGAGATTCATCCTTAAAGGCAAACTTGCCAGTGCCTGAGCATCCCTGACCTTTGTCGTTATCAACCTTACATAGTTTTACAAAGCAAATTTCCACCAAGGCAACAAGACACGTTCTCTCCTGAGTTGGTTGAGCAAACCCTCTAATGTTTTCAGGGTGTAAATAGACAAATTGGCATTATCAACAGCCAGAAGGTAGAATTCAGACCGGACGTGATGACCATCTCCCCTGTGATCAATCCCAATCCGCCTAAGCAGCGTCCTTTCAGCTTCGCTTTGCCTGGAAGGTCTCTGGTGCAGCCCCAAGCTGTATCCTTTCTATCCCTGAAGCACACGAGTCTTTCCAGTCCAGGCCCTGGTTCCTGGGGGGCCACTTCCAGAGATCGGTGTGAATACTGCCCCCTCTGAGGACCTTAACCTGCCTCCTCGGAGGACCTCAACCTTCCCTCAACTCTGAAGCAGAGCCTGCCATACTCCTCTATCCCAACACCCCCCTGATGGTCTTCCAGTCGTCCTCTACGACCTGGGGATCCCCCTGCCTCAGCTAGTGTGATGTTGTCCCAGGGGTCCTAGGAGGGTTGAAATAACCAGAGATTGCTACCTGGAAGTTCTCACAAAACGGTTCCTGGACAGAGAAGGGTCTAAAAGGAAGGCAATGAATCAGATCCTCCAGGCAAAGTCCTATGGTGCTCTGGCTCCCAAACTTGGCTGCACCACCTGAGGGCTGTAAAAACACTGATGGCTGCATCCCACTTCCACATACTGATGTCATGGCTCTGGGGTCAGACCTGGGCACTGGGATTTTCAAAACAAACAAATTGATTACAACCAATAATTGTTTCAAAACAAACAAATTGATTACAGCCAAGGGCGAGGGTGTTGCCTCTTGATCTGAAGTATTGCGTACCTACACAAAGCCTAAGTGTGCAGCTGAACTTATTTTCGGATCGGACACCAAGGAGTACACCATACTGGTGACGAACAGCGCCAGCCCCTTGGAAGCCTCCTCGTGTCCACTATCCAAGGTAACCAGTTCCCTGATCCCTAAACAAAATTTAGCTCTCCATGTATATAAAGAGGAATCATGCTCTATGTTGAGTCTGTTTTGGGGAGACATGCATTAGAAGAGTTCGAATCACACCAAGAAAGCTTCTTGGAAGAGGCAGTAGGGAGGCCCCGGAGGAGGAGGCGGAGCAAAGCAGGGAAGTTGGTGAGGGAAGGACAAGGTCAACTGGAAACAGAGGCACCGAGGTGCTCACCCCTCCCTAGACCGAGGAGCTCTTCAGGTGCACCCTTCCTGGTAGCTGTGTTCAGCCTGCAGTCCAGCCAACCCACAACTGTTTACTGGCGCTAATACCATGCTGGATTTGGGGCATAGAGATGACTAGAACTTACATCTCATTAGGGAACACCGACCATATGCTCTCAATATGAACTGAAGAGATACTTACAGAGAAACAGTGGGACGGACAGTGGGGCAAGGGAGGTGACGTTCGAATAGTGAGTCGAGAGGAAAACCAGATGCCGGGTAAAAGAGTGGGTGCAGCAGCCCTGACGCATGTGCAGGAGGCTTCATGGGAACATCCGTGTTCTTCATGCTCAGGAATCTCTCAGGCTACCCTCGTGCCCAGCATGGGTGCGGGCAGGGCCCTCCCTGCACAGGTGGCACCCCTGGAGTCTTCGTTTTGATTGGGTTGGAGTCCCCTGGTGAGACAGGCAAATACACAACAGTTCAATCCATTGTGTGCTTGATGGCGAGATCCACAGGCTTCCAAGGTACAACAAGAAGCCTTTCAACCTCTGAGTGGATTCAAGAATGGATGTCCTTTCTGTTCCTCGCATGCAGTATGTTCCATGAACTTGATTCACCTGTTACAAATTCACCTTTCCATGGGAGAGGTTCTCATGCCCGGCATCATGTCAGAATCACCTGGAAACTTTGAAAATTTCAGATTCTCTGGCCCTGCCCAGAGATCTGATTTAGTAAGAACTGGGTGGGGCCAGGGCTTCTTTATCTTAAAACATAATGACACCAATCTCCAGGTGAGGTCTGAAGTGCAGCCAGTGTGGGAACAAGTGCTCCAGAAGAGACGGTTGACTCATTCCAATCAGTTCGTGCCCCTGCACATCCCGAAGTTTCAATGTGGGATCCTAGGAAGCGAAGTTCCCAGGAGACATAACATGTCATTAGTCTAAGACACCAGCTCTTGGCAGGCGGTTCCCAAGTGCCAAGGTGTATGGATTAGCCCAGCATTTTGCCAGTTCTAATGCCTACATCGCCTGCCTCACATGTGCCACCCCCGCATCCTACCTAAACGAGTATTTACCCTCTGTCATTCCTTGCATATAGTTCACACTCACCTAAATGAGTTTAAACGTTAGATTGCCACCAGCAATACCCTTAACTGAAACAGAAGCTACCCCCAAAGTGAAATCAATGAAATCCCTTTTTTTTAAAGTCTAGCCTGATCCTTGTCCTTCCAAATTTCTTGAAACTGTAATCTGTAGCATCTTGGTTGAATCAGCAAGTGTTGGATATAAATGAGACACCAGTACCAAACAGACTTTGTCAGATTGAAAAAGAAGTGGAAGGGAGGAACTTTGCTCAGGACGGGATTCAATGTTAATGGCACAGCTACACGGCTTAAAAAAAAATCTAGGTACCACTGTGTTGTGTACCCCATGGGTATAGCCAAAATCCTTTGTTGATAACTTGGAATGAATCCCCTTTTGCTGGCATTGCCAAATATGAAAGAGTTTTGTCTGTCTCCGTTGGGTGTCACTCCGTTGGTAGTGACCGTGTGGGGTGGGGGATCTTGGAGAGATCAAATGAATTGTGAAGGATGATTCAACAGCACTGTGCAATCAGTGGCAACCATGCGTTTCGAATGATGAGTAGGATGGGAAAGCTAAGTTTCCTGTAGCCCAGAAGAGCTGTTAAGAAAAATAATTGTGGAACAAGTCACACTTGGTAATTTCCCAAGAGGGACAGCAAAAGTGGGTGGCTAGGTTGTTAGGTGGGAGGTGTCTTGGCCATGCAGACGAGGCCTGTCTTGTGCAGGGTCCCTGGGGTGGGCACAGGTAAACGCCACGGTGACCACAGCACAGCGCACTCTGAATCATGCTGCCATTACTGCCTTCCCAGACTCTGTAGTGAACAATACTGAGTCTGTCTGCTTCCAAAAGAGCAAAGGCTCTTTTGGCAGAAATTCCTAAACTGCAGTGAGCGGGACATTCGTTTGTGGGAGTGGGGAGGGGTTCTTAAACCCTTATCTAGAAGTTTCTGATGTAGAAGATTTAGGGTGGTAGTGCTCAACCAGGGGCGATTTCGCCCACAGGGGTCACTGGGCAATGCCTGGAGTCAATGCTTGTCGTCACAGCTGGGGTGGGTGGGTGACACCTCTGGTAGGTGGAAACCAGGGACACTGCCAGATACTCCACAGGGCACAGGACAGGCACCCGCAACAAAGGGTTACCTGGCTCAGGATGCCGGTAGCTTGGAAATCCCTGCTCAGGGGTGAGAGCCAGGCCTCAGGGTCTTTAAAGGGTCTCAGGAGATTCTGATGTAGGAAATCAGAATCGGGATTGGGGAAACTTGTTTCCGCCCAGGGCCATTTGGATATGTATGACACCATTTGCGAGACGTACAAAATGATCAGCTTGGAAATTAGCCTGCTGTAGACTGACCGAATTTTGAGTCTTGCCCACAGTTGTCTTGGCAGGGTCAGACCAAATGATTTCCGGGTGTGATAGAGCCCGTAGGCTGGAAGCTCCCCAGCCCTGTCAGACACTGCCTGTCTTACTCAGCTTTGACTGGGCCCCCTACACCATGCCCCATCTGGGACCATCCCTCCCCCCTCCCCAGTCCCCTCCTGTCCCAGCCTGCACTGCTCGCCCCTCCCCCTCTCTCTCACTGCCAGGGGAGCTCCTGGAGGGCAGGATCCGCTTCTTCCCGCTCACAGTCCCCGTCCCCCCCCCCCCCCCCCCCCCCCCGGGCACCTGGTAAGGTTGTGAGCATCAGTCCTCTGGAAGCACGCCCTCATTCACTGTCACAGAACCCAGTTTTAACATCTTCATGGAGCTCATGACTCGGAAGTGATCCTGGTTGTTTGCTTTTCATTCACTTCACAAATATTTTACTGGGCACTTCCTCTATGTCTTGCAGTGTGCCATCACAGAGGATATAAGGGAACAAAAGAGGCACAATTCCTTCTTCCCCACAGAGCTTATTTTCTAGAGGGGAATCTCAGACAATTAAGGAGATGGAAACTACATAACATGTGCCATGTGGAAGCCCAGTGTGGGTAAATAAAATGGAGATGTGGGATGGTGTGTATGTGTGTGTGTGTGTGTGTGTGTGATTTTAAATGAGACTGTGCTGGGAGAAGGTGGCATTTAGGCAAAGATCAGATAACTGGGGTGATTTATCTGCCTCCCCCACTGGGACAGAATCACCAGAACACAGTAGGTACACAGTAAGTGTTGTTCAAAGGAAGCAAAAAAGAGTATCTGATTGATCAGGGCGGTTGATTTTTATGACCATCCAGTGATGAGCAAGAGGGCAGGAGGGCAGGGCATCCCGGGTAATGCCGGTGGGTGGGCAGGGCCTTTGGGGGTGGGGCGTCGAGTTAAGACTGAGAGGATGGAGAGCATCCTTGCCTAAGGTCCCCGCCCCCTTCCCCGCCCCAGGCAGTCCTATGAGCCCCTCCTAGCACTGCCACGGTCCCTGCCGGTCAGTCACTCTGGCCAGCTTCCCAGCTTACGAGTTGAGCCGTCACCCTGCCCCGGCTCCTCCCGCCTCCCTGCACTTCTCACCTCCTCGCCCCTCCCCTCCCGCCTCCTCCCCGGGGGTGTCCCGGCGCCTGGTGGGCACGCCCGGCCCCGGCCCCGGCCCCTCTCCCCGGCGGGACACTGTCCCTTTAATAGACTCCCTCTGCCTGGCGCTCTGCGGCTGGGGAGTAAATTTCTCCCTGTCATCAGGTCGCGGGAGAGGAGGAGGAGGAGGAGTTTGTTAATGTTCAGTTTGTTCAGCGGGATCGATGTTTGCTGGCATCGCCTCGCCCTGTCTTGTGTGAGTGTGAGTGTGTGTGCGCGTGTGTGCGCGCATGTGGGGGTGCGCGTGTGTGTGCGGGAGGCGGCGAGTGCGCGCGTGTGTGTGTGTATGAGTGCGTGCGTGTGTGTGTGTGTGAGTGTGTGTGTGTGTGTGTGTGAGAGTGAATTCCAGATTTTCCGTCTTTCCCAAACCCGCTCCTGTCCTCTCGCATATCACTCACAGACGGGGATCTGACAGCAGCTACAAACCCACAGTGAGTGATCTCTCCCTACGCGAATCCGCCATAGAGGTCGGCGAGGAGGAGGAGGAGGAGGAAGAGGTGGAGGAGGAGGAGGTGGAGGAGGAGGAGGGAAAGAGGAGAAGGAAGAAGAAGAAGAAAAAGAAGAAGAAACCACTACCTTCCCAGGATTGCCTTTTTCCCCTTATCGTTACGCGCGCGTGTGCGTGTGGCGCGTGTGCGCCCCTCGTCCCTTCCATCTGAACCCGGTCTTGGATGTTTAATAAAGAAATCAAGTGTCTCAACAGTCACCAAAAAAAAAAAAAGCAAAAACAAACAAAAAAAAATTCCAAAAGCAAAAACAAAAAAGAGAGAGGAAAAAAAGCAAAAACAAACAAACAAACAAGGCAGAACCAACCTCTACTTCCAACCAGCCGGCACCAGCCAGCCGTGTCTGCCACCCAGAGAGGGGGGTCTCCGGCCCGTGCCGCAGGAGTTGCAGGGGGGATCGTCAGGGGGACAGAGGCCGAGTGACGTCCTAGGAGCCACCGGGCGAGAGGCGGAGGAGACCCAGAGAGGCGAGAGGGACAGCGGGCCCCAGCGCGCGGCTCGGGGCTGGGGCGCCAGAAGTGGGACTGGAGCGAAGTAGAGCGATGCCAAGAAGGAAACAGCAGGCACCCAAGCGGGCGGCAGGTAAGAGAACCGGCTCCGCTCCGGGGCTGCCCGCGCGCCGCGCTCCCCGCCCGCCCTCCCGGCCCCCGGGCGCCCCGGGACGCCACCCCCTTCAGCTTTCCGGGCAGTTCGCTCGGGGCGCCCCTCCGAGGATCCGGTCCGCTCTCGCCTTCGCGGGTCTCCCACACCCTCCGCGTTCCGGGCTCCGGTTGCATGGGTGGGGGGAGCTATCCCACCAAGCCTTCCCTCCTTAAACTTTTTTCCCTCCACCCTTCACCCCACCCCTAACTTTCTCCCAGTCCGTTTCTCGCCTGGAGCCAAAGCCGGGTTGAGGATTTGGGGATTTGGGGTGCGGAGTAGGGAGGCGGCCCCTGCAGCCCCGCATCCCTCCTCGTGGTCAGTGCCCAGCGGCCTCTGGCCTCCAGGGAGCGAGTCTGCCCTGGCTGGGGCTCGGGGCGCTGAGGTGCGAGGTTGCGGCGGGCTGCGGCGGGCTGGCTCTGGGGCGATCGGTAGGAGTTTAGCTTCGGTCGCCAAGGTGGGAAACGCAGCCCAGCAAATGGAAGAGCATTTGAGTATGTTTTTCGAGAGGAGCCACTTTCAGAAATCTCAGGGACAGTGTACCTTGTCTTGGGGGAGGAGGGGACAGGAAATGGCCATAGAAATTCGAGCAGCTGCAGATATTCTAGGCCCAGAAGAGTTGCAAACTTTGCGGGTTGACTAGTGTGGTGGGCACTATCCCACCTGAATCCCCTCCCGTCCCCTCCCCCACCCCCAGATAATAACAGGTTAATGGACCAGTACAATAAGTCTTCCGTGGGATTTTTTTTTTCCTTTTGGGTTGCTTAATTGCTTTTTTAATAGTATGCTGGGGTTTTGTTTCTCGGAAGTGTAATATGAAAGTTCATTTTTCTCCTGCCAGACCCACCCACTGAAAAATCAGCTTTCCACTTGATTGCTAGTTTTGATTTGACACTTGATTGATCACCTGTCATCTCGCTGCCTTTGATCTATTCATTCTTGATATATATCAATAAATCACTCACCATGGTAACTCAGAGTGCCAGTGACGCAAGCCTTGCCCTCTATATTCAGAGCCAGACATGCACAATTATTATCTTGTTGGGCTTTTAATGTGGGCGTTTTTATTTCTTTGTGTCCTTTAGTTGAATCAGGGTTTTAGTGAAAGCTCAAGTTTTGCTGTTGGTGGTTTTTTTTTTTTTTTTCCTTTTTGTCTCTGCGCTCCTGCTAGGGCAACACCACAATCACTGTGTTCCAACTCAGGCGAAACACAGGGAGAAGTTGGGTGGAACGCCTGCATAAACTTTGCAAAGTCACCCTCAGAAGGAATCCCAAGTCAGGAACTGGGGGCAGAGGGAGTGGTCTCCAGGTCCGAGTGTGCCGGACCCCGCGTGCACCTCGGTCCCTGCCTGTTTGCAGGGTGAGTGGCCATGCAGTGCTCTGAAGTACCCTCAGCGATTTTCCCTTCCCAGGCAGGCATTTGTAGGTGACTGGGCTGGTTCAAGTTGCGGTCTCCACGCTTCGATTTGTATATTTGCAGTCGCTTCCCTACCAGCAAGCTTCTTAGAATATTTCAGTGCTGTCGATTGGGAACTTGCCTTGGCAGTGGGGCTTGCTTGCTTCAGCCCCAGATACCTCTCTTGAAAAGAAATTGTCTTTCACTCCTGTCCTTTCTGCTTTTGCCTTGCTTATTTTTGAAAACTTAGACTGCTTTGCAGGCTGACAGCGTTGGGATGTGCAATGGCCTTCGAGCCTCAGGAAGTCTGCCTGCTGCATCTAGTTCTGGCAACGTTAAGTTCAAGTGTAGCTAGATTATTGGAGATAACATCCTTATTGTCATCCCGAAAGAGAGCCCTGGGCTACAGTCCAGGAAGAAGTGATACTGCCCTGAAAATTACTTTTTTTTTTTTCCTCCTTGTTGTTCCGGTAAAGGCCATCAACAACTAGGCAGTAATTTAAATTACCAGAATAACTGGACATGTCTCCTTTCGTAAGCTCATTACAAAAAGTGTATTGCTCAGAATTGCACTACTTTGATTATAATTATCCTCCGGTCAGTGAGGATCCAGGTGTAGGTAGCATAACGCTGTATCACATTATTTAAATTAGATCCTTTTCATTAAGCGGCATCTACGGATGGGTCCTGGGTTGTCTACTCTTTGTAGTGCGGCTGTAGAAACTTGTGGCTATAGTTTCAGTTTTCTGGCCTATTGTATTCCTAGCGTTTCTTTTTTAAATCTGTTTGTTTTTATGACTTTCGGTATATTCACTGGGAGAAGTGGGAGCCCTTTGTAAGGTGAAAGGGAATAATTTATCTTGTACACAAGGAGGACACTCTTACAGTGTATCTGCTCACATATTAATAAAGCAGAGAGTTCTTCAACCAGTGTTTCTTCCACTCACCCGAGGTCATCAGTGCCCTGCTCTGTCTTCCACAGGGGTGCTTAATTCACAAGTAAAGTTCGCCACTTTGGGATTCTTTAACCGGTTCATGTCCAGGGAAGGGGAGAAGGGTGGGGTGGCGCTCCAAGATTGTGGCCACGCTAACTTTTATCAGGGGTTAAAATTAAACACAATGCACAACTGTAAGTAATTACTGCCATGGACGGATGTTGAAAGCTTGATCTCCAGCTTGATTAATGAATAATGGAAGATAGAGAAAGCCTGGGAGTGAATCAGAGCTGAGGCTCTCCTGGAGTTCTCTTTTCCCCCAGAATTGTTCGAGGCCATTTGATTCCCTTGCATTATTAGTTTTTAAGTCCTGTTGTTTCAAGGAATCAATTACAGAACTTTCTAATAAAGCAAGTTTCCAAATAGAATAAACAGGATGATGTTAGAAGCGATGGGGAATTTTACTCTGTTGTATTCCTCCCCCTGGGTCGGGGGTGGGGGTGGAGGAGGGATGTGAGGTGGAGGCGAGTCTCCCGAAGGAAACAGCTAAGTCGGAACATTTCCCTCCGAAATGTTATTCTTCCTGGCTTTATAAAGCCATGCGATTCCACCATGCTATGACTTAAGGCGAGAAACAAAGTTTAGAAAGCAGCCTACAGTAGCCCCAGGGGTTGTGCATGTGGGAGTGTGAGGTTTGCTGCCTCACATGTATATTTCACTCACCATTAAAATGCACCCATTTTTACCTGGAAATATGGCAGGATTCTCTACCAGCGTCTTTTCCCCCTATGCATTTCAGGAAAGATAAAGAAGATAGTGGGAAAGCAAAATAAGACAGATCAGTGTTTGTATTTTGTGGGATGCCGAGTGGTTAAAAATTTAAAATTGTAGACCATATTCTAACTCCTCTGTTCTCTATAGTCTGTCTCAGCTCCTGTCCGTATACACGTGTAAAACATATTTTATTTCACCATCCTGAACTATTGTCTTTATATTAATGCCAGCCAATTGCAACAGAACACAAAATCTCCTGTGACTGCCTGCATGTGAATATCTAAGAGATGTAAGTTACAGGATTGCCTGTGCCCACTGAAAGGGCTGGGGGTTTCCTTTTTTCCTGACTTCTGGAAGCTTTCTGATAAACCAGATCTGGGTAGCGTCTTGCGGAAGAGAACAGCTCCCTCAATTTATTTTGTTTATTTAATATGGAGATGAATAATGCAGATTTTGTTTTCATGAATGTCCTTGTGTGGCAGTAAACATTAGACTATTAGCAATCATTACTTAAAAGTTGCAATTTGCACCTTAATAGCACAGGTTATTTACATGGAAAACGCATTCAGCAGGGACAATTCTGAGTACTGCAGTGGAGGAGAAGTGACCTGAGAGATCTCTCTCTGCACCTCCTGAGAGTGATGACTCTGGATCAGTGGGTGAAGTCCCAGGAACCTGAGCCTGCAGAGCGCAGGAAGGGGCAGGCAGCTCGGGGTGAAGCTGGCCTTTAATTTACTGGCAGGCAGGACAGGATTCAAGAGGACAGGAATCAAGGTAGATTCTGGACCCTGACTCCCTCACTTTGTTTAAACATCCTTCAGAAAGACAAGTTCTCATCTCACACACTTAAATATCTCGTGCTGTAGATTCCTTTAATACTCAGTGTGATTTTAGAAGATGAATGAAACACACATGCACACACACACACACACACACACACACACCACAAAGCCCCCAGGACCCCACCTCAGCAATACAGACTATTATGGCTCTTCTTGGTATTTAAGGCAAAGCTCTGAGAAAGAAAGAATGGATACCTTGAAATCGCATTGTCCACACAGCGTCCTGGATGGAAATTGATTGCTTAAGTGGCCCTTTCCCTATCCCCTCCCTGTTTCTTTCTCCTGCCTCTCACCTCACTCTGAAAGACCCAGATTGAATGGGACATCTCAAAAGCCCATTTGTTTTAGGCATTTATTGATTTCATTTTTAATCTGCCATATCAGGACATGATACATTAACCTTAATCAGCAGATTGCAAGTGACAGGGAGTTCTAGTGGAGCTAGGTAAAGGGGAGAGGCCCTGGAAAACTTCTTGACGACGAAGTCTTCTCCAAGGCTTCCAGGCTTAGCTGCTGGATGCTACTCTGGGGGAGGATACAAACATTCCTCAGAATCCGTCGACATTTCTTGTCCTTCCACCTTCCATGTCTTTTTTCTGCCAGTCTCCCCATTCTATTGCAACCCCTTTGGGAAACTTCACCCTCAACAAACGCCTCCACGGTGGGTGGAGATGAATCGCTGAAGCATCTTCACTGTGTGGCCCATTCGCCAGCCCAGGTTTCTTCATCCCGTTTCATCCCAGCCGACTTCTCACTCATCTGTCGGCTTCTCTCCAGCTGGACGATACCTGGGCTGGGCTGTTTCTCTTCCCAGTGGCTTGAGAATTGCGCTCACAGTGGAGCAGGTTTTAAAGTGGGGGGTGGGGTGGGTGCTGAGCCTGGTGTTCTTTAAGGCCATTGAAATGATGCACCTCGGCTCATCACTGCAGCTGAGCTTAGGAAAATCAGCCAAAAAGAACTAAGGCCCTGCTGCTGCTTTGCTGGATCTGCAATTAG